TGTTCATGCCTCTCATCTCTGAACAATTACTGATATTTGTCTACTCCATAATTAAGGGATCAGGAGGATAATTTAGTTGTTCCCTGAAAAAAAGGTTTCTCCATCTGTGTCTAAGCCACCACCATTTTATTCCTATAACTTTTTCTCTAATTCCATAGCCGCTTGACATGCCTTGTGTATTTCAAGAGACACTAAATATTTACAGGCATTTATCAGAGTCTACACAACAGGATTTTGTGTGTTTTTTATTTTTCTTTTGAAAATCGTAATTTTATTTCTAAACATCACATTTTAGAATTTCTGACTTTTTTTTGGTTTGGGGGTTGTTATCCCTATATTCAGTTTATATTTTTGGACTTAGGAGGAGGGTGTGTTGGTCTGAAGAATAAATAAGACTGCAAATATTTCCTAAGTGGCTTAATTAATTTTGTTAAGTTATATATTTATTCAAAAGTTAGAGTGTACTTTAGAAGAAAAAATTGAGCATCCTGTGTTTTCAAACAATGAGCACACATCAGTTTTTAAAGCATTTTTCTCTGTTAACAGTGATAACATCTGAATTACCACATTGCCTTTTTAAAAAAAATTTATAGGGGCACCTGGGTGGCTCAGTTGGGTAAGCGTCTGACTTCGGCTCAGGTCATGATCTCACGGTTCATGGGTTTGAATCCTGCATCGGGCTCTGTGCTGACAGCTCAGAGCTGGAGCCTGCTTCAGATTCTGTGTCTCCCTCTCTCTCTGCCCCTCCCCTGCTTATGCTCTGTCTCTCTCAAAAATAAAATGCACATTAAAAATTTTTAATAAAAAATCCATAGAAGTTAAAAGATACAAAAGAATATTTTGTAAAAAAAAAAAAGAAAATCCCCTTCCTCTACCCCAGTCTCCAGCCACTCAGTTCCTCTCTCTGGAGATAATATTACCATTTTAGGTTAAAAGTACCATAGTTCCCTTTCTGAATCTTTGCCATTAAAGTTTAGAATTGAAGCTTGATTACAAACTTCTCTAACTTTCACTGAAACTGTCTGGGAATAATTCTTAAAAAATCTCTAACCTCCTAATTGCTAAGAGTCATTGACCCCAGAAGCACATTATTATTATTATTATTATTATTATTATTATTATTAAGTTATGTATTATGCAGTGGAAAGGATTTTCTCCCAAGTAGTTTCTGTGTGCCCCTTACTGTACACAACAGTATTCTTCTCAGCGTCCATCTCTTCTTTCTCATCAGCCTTTTTCTGGGCTATCCCACCTACTCCCATAGGCTCCTAACTCCCAAATCTTGCTTTTTTCAAAAAATTTATTTATTTATTCTGATAGAGAGTGAGCAGGGGATGGGCAGAGAAAAAGGGAGAGAGAGAATCCCAACCAGTCTCTGTGCTATCAGCAAAGAGCCCAATGTGGGGCTTGATCTCACAAACCTGTGAGCTCATGACCTGACCCCAAATCAGGAGTCAGATGCTGAACTGACCGAGCCACCCATGCACCGCTCTTCCTTTTTAATCCACTCTGACATTTCTCTACCTTTTAATCAGATTGTGTAAACCACTTACACTTTTTATGATTATTGATGAAGTTGGGTTTAAATGTGTTCTCTTATTATGTTTTCTGTTTGTCATATCTGTTCTTGTTCCCCCCATTTTCTTTCTCTGCCTTCTTTGGGACTGAGTATTTTCTATGATTCCATCATATCTCTTTCATTGGCTTAGTAGCTTTACCTCTTTGTTTCATTGTTTTAGTTGCTACTTTAGGATTTATATTATGTATCTTTAGTATAGTCTATCTTCAAGTAATATTATGCCACTTCACATACAGTGTAAGAAACTTACAGAAGTGTCCTTCCAGGGGCGCGTAGGTGGCTCAGTCGGTTAAGCGTCCGACTTCGGCTCAGGTCATGATCTCACGGTTCGTGGGTTCAAGCCCCGCGTCGGGCTCTGTGCTGACTGCCAACTCAGAGCCTGGAGCCTGCTTCAGATTCTGTATCTCCTTCTCTCTCTGACTCTCCCTTGCTCACACTGCCTCTCTCTCTTTCTCTCTCTCTCTCTCAGAAATCAATAAAATATTAAAAAATTAAAAAAAAAAAGTGTCCTTCCATTTCCCCTCTCCTAACCTGTAACCTTTGTGCTACTGTGAACATAACATTTTATTTATGTATTTTATAAACCCCACAATACAACATTACTATTTTTGCTTTAAACAGCCAATTATCTTCTTTTGGTAACAACTTGATTGAGATATAATTTGCACGTCATACAATTCGCCTATTAAGAGGTATAATTCACGGAGTTTTAGTATATTCACAAAGTTGTCCAGTTATCATCACCATCAATTTTAGAACATTTTCATCACTCCAAAAGAAAACCCGTTAGCCAATATCTAACCCCACGCCAACTTCCAATTTCCATCAACTTCTTCCATCCTTAGGCAAACCCTTACCTACTTTCTATCTCTATAGATTCGCCTATTATGAATATTTTATAGAAGTGGAATGTGGCCAGGGGCTGCCTGCTCCCAGCCCTATCCCTCTCCTTCATCATGGCCTCGGCCTCCTTCCTTTCACCTTCCCTGTGGTCTGTGAATTATCATGCAGCAGTCAGAGGGACCACACGTCTCTGTCATTCTTTTTCTATTCCTTTTTTTAAAATTCTCTTTCTACTCTGTTCTTTTTCCATTTCTGTCTCCCAGTTGGTCCCACCCTTTAGGCAAATGAGAGAACTATGAAACCATCTACAACTTCTCCCTGTCTTTCGCCGTCGGCATCTAAGTTGTCGGCTAGTTCTACTTCCACTTCTTCCACGGTTCTGGGGTCATTCTCTTCTCTCTCTCTCTCTCTCTCTCTCTCTCTCTCTCTCTCTGCTACTGGCCTTAGGTTGCTTCACCCTCACTTATCCTTGGAGCGGTTACAGCAGTCTTGTAACCTGTCGCTTTGCTTCTCATCTCGTGTGCTCCTGGGCCATTCTCTGTATTGCTCCCAACTCTCTGCAAAGTCTGTATCTAATCGCATGAGTTTTCTAACCAAACATCTCATTTTCCCCCAGTGTATCCACACCAGTTGTCTTAGCCTGGCTTCTAGAGCCCGTTGTTTTTGTACTCAGTCTGTCTTCCTGTTCGTCTCGCTAAACAATCCTGTAGCACAGAATCACACCATGTTCTCTTATACCTTTCTTCCTTTGAACAAGCTGGCTTCCGTCTTCTATTGCTTTTTTCCTGTCTACTGAACTCCTGCTTATTCTTCAAAGCCCAGTCTAGGTGCCCCCTTCAGACAGGCCTCTTCTGATGCTTTTCTCCAAGCATGTTGGTCATTCCTACTTCTGTGGTTCCATTTCTTCTTAAACCTATTCAGTTCCAGCCTGTGCCTCTCTTTGTGGACATTCCTTGTTTTCACTTTTGTCTCCCTTTAATACCGTGACTTCTTCTAAGGGAGGGACCTTATCTTATAATTTTAGTTCCCCTGATTCTGTTCCAGATACCCAATTGGTACGTATATTGAATGAAACCTTATCCTGTATGATAATGAATTTTATTATGAAGAGGTTATTCTATACAGTGGTTGATCACTTATCCAGCCTAAGAATTCTTTGATCTGTGTAGCTCTCCTTTTAAATATGTACCAATTGGTATTTCATTTCAGATGTGAGATGGAAAAACAAATTCTGGGGCAAATCCATGGAAATTGTTCCCATTGGCACAACCCATGTGACTCTGCCAGCGTAAGTTCTTCCATGCTCAGGAACTTTATAGACTTTAGGAATGGGGTTCCCATTGTCCCCCATGGTGCTGCGTGTACGGCTGTTTTCTTTTACTTCATTTGACAGTAAGTCCAAATGTACCTCAGTTTGACAAGCTCACCTTTTCTCTCCTTCAAATGGAAATGCTACCTGGAAACCAAAGTTCCCTGAACGGAAGCTCTTTGAAAACTCATTTCCATTTTCTAACAAAATTAAGAATGGTAGTTTTGCTTTAACATTGTTGTCCTACCTCACTATCAGAATTCCTTTTAAGAAAAATATGGTCTTGATCCTGCAGAGATTGTTGATGCTCATTTACAAAACCAAATGACTGTGAGTGTGGCCTCCGGGACTAGGCTAACAGGACTCACTCTGCCACTTACTAATTGCAAATCCTTGGGCACGTTAACTTAACCTTTCTGCTCACTAGTTCCCTCGTCTATAAAACACGAGAAATAAACCACCTACTTGGCAGGGCTTGTGAAGATTAAATGAATAATGTACATAAAGCACTTTAAAAAGTACTTGGCACACAGTACACGTCATGTAAGTGGTCTTATTACCATTATCCTTGAAATTATTGTATGACTCTGTGAGTCTGAATATTTTCTCATTGTAAAAAGATTTAAGATATGTGTATCTTAAGATATATATAAAATAGGGGCACCTGAGTGGCTCATTCAGTTAAGCATCTGACTTCAGCTCAGGTCATAAGCTCAAACATAAACATTACAAATTTTTTTTAAAAAGATTTATATATAAAATAGATATGTGTCTCTGCATATACATATATGCATACATATACACATATGTATGCATATGCATGTATATACACATACATGTGTGTGTGTGTGCATGCACACATGTCTGTGTGTAGATAGCAGATTGTGGAAGATTCCCCCACCTTCCCCATTGCCTCTTCCTTTTTCTAGTTTGGTGACTTTATGCAAGTCACCTCTGGCTCTCAGTTTTCTCCTGTGTCAAAGGAGAGAGTAGGTTGTTCGAGGAGATCACCAGCTTCTGGTGAAGTCCCTGGCAGCTTCCAGCGTACTGTTGCCCTCTGTGACACGTATGCCTCCCGGGGGAGTGGAAGTCAGAATGCCCAGCACGGCTTAGGCACTCAGTCAGTGTTGTTTCCGGAAATGAAGGAAGGAGTAATTCATTATGTGATTTTTTTTTTTTTAATTGCGATATCTGTTTGCATTTGCTGCTGGCTCTTCTGGGAATTGTTGATGCTACCATTTCCTCCTTTTTAGCTTTGGAGATCATTTCGAGTGGAACAAAGTGACCTCTTGCATCCATAACATCTTAAGCGGGCAGAGATGGATTGAGCACTATGGGGAGATTGTCATCAAGAACCTGAATGACGACTCCTGCTACTGCAAAGTGAATTTCATAAAGGTAACCCCTGGGAAGGCCTTGCCAGAGCTGGGGCCTCGGGGCACAGGACATCCTGGGGGAACTTTTCACCTTCACCTTTGTGCCATCAGGCAAACACTGGCAGGGGGTCCCTGGTGTTCCCCCCCTCCTGACCCCTCTCACCTGGACCAGGGTTGTGGCCCTTCTAGCCCCCCTCATTCCACGCTTACCCCGCTGTGGTCTGTCCTCAGTGCAGCAGCCAGAGGGACTCTTAAAACGTAATTCATCACGCTACAGTATGGATGAACTGAAGACATTATGCTAAGTGTAGTAATGCAAAGGACAGATGTTGTGTGACTCCACTTCGAGGGACCTAGAGCAGTCAAACTCATAGAGACAAAAAGCAGAATGGTGATGCCAGGGGCTGGGGGGGCGGGTTGGGGAATGGCTGTTAGTGTTTCATGGGTATGCAGTTTCAGCTTGGGAAGCTAAAAAAAGTTCTAGAAATATAAAATGATGATGGTTGCACAACATTGTGAATGTGCTTAGTGTCACTGAATTGTATGCTTAGAAATGGTTACAATGGTACATTTTGTTATTTATGTTTTACTAGAATTAAAAAAAAAAGTCATGCTGTATATCGTGGAAATCCTCCAACGACTTCTGTCTTTCCCAGAGTAAAAGCCTGCCTCCTGACAATGGCCCACAAGGCCCTGTGCCCTATGCACTGCCCACCCCCCCTTATGTCACACACGTGCACGCATGCACACAAACACATGTCCGTGCAGCGCACACACCTCCACACAGTGGCCATACATGTATGAACACGCACACACACCTGCCTGTACATGCATATGTGCGCCTGCACGCACACACACAGACACGCTCATTCCTCTCCAGCCTCAGCTCCCACCAAGCCCTCCTCCCCTTCTGACCACACTGGCCTTTCTTTCTTTCCATTTCCTCCCGCTTGGGGCCCCTCTCCCCGGATCCTTCCATCATCGGCCCTGTCTTGCCAGTCACTCTCTATAATATCCCACTTTCTTCAAAGGTTTTATTCCCATCTCTAGTTAGCGTGCTCACTGTTGGTTTACTTATGTATTTTCATCTTCTGTTCCCTACACCCGCCTCACCAACCCTGACTCTGGAAAAGCAAAAGCCTGGTCTAATCTTGCTCCCTGCTGTAGGCTGATGTCTGGAAAGGCTCATGAACATTCATAGGGTAAATGAACAGATTGGCCAAAGACAGAAGCATGGAATAGTCTGCTTAGCTTTCCAAGTGCCTCAATTCCCTTAGACTGCACTTGCCCTTAAAATTCTCATGTACTTAACATGGTCTTAAAGGAATATTTGCATTTAATTAAGATCAAAATCATAAGCTGAGAGATTAGGCTCTAATTGTGGCATTTCATGCAGTATCTCTTGCACCACCTGTAGCCTGTGGGGGGACATTATGGAGAGGTGGATGGGGGTCTTTATCATATCCTGTAAGTCAGACTGTGATGTAGATGATAAAAAGCTAGTAATGTTTCACATAAAATAAAAATGACGGTGCCTTGAAAACTTCACGTAGGCTCTCTGCAAAAAAAAAAAAAAAAAGAAAAAAAAGAAGGGAATATGGTGCAGGGATACATACCCCTGAGCCAGGTGAGGGCCACCTAGTTCTCAGCATATTCCCCAAGGAAATGTGCTTAAATCCCATTTCTGCCATCTACCTGGTACTCACACACTTAGAGCCAGAGAACAGATTTCTATGGCTACAAGAGATGAGGGGATTGGAACACTGGGTGTACCTTTGGTGTTGAAAGAGTCTCTGAAAGCAGATGTGGCCCTTCCCAATGGAGCATGACCCTTCCTCTCTGGCATCCCCTTGTATCACCAGCATTGGATCTGTCAGCAAATATCTGTAATAGAAAATCGGACTCCTTCTTCACAACACACTTAAGAGCCTGGACAGTGTCTATTGCTGCTTTCCTCCATTTTTACATGAGTAGAGACCTGCAGTTTACATTTCTGCTTCCGCTCTCTGATGCCACTGTACTCCATCCTTCCGTCCATCTTCCCCATAGACAGAAAAGGGGGAAACCAAACCACCAGAATATGGCCCGAATATGCCACTCAACTTTATTGGTTTTCAAATGTGGATTTTGTTTTGGCTAAAAATAGCACTAGGGGTTTTGGTTTATGAAATAATGCCTTCCGTTCCTTTGTAGAGATTTTTTAGGGCAGCCAGGTAATTGGGAGATTGAAAAAAAAAAAAAATCAACTCTAGGGAGTTAGACTACCCTCTGCTGGCCACCTTGTGGTACTATATAAAACCCACAAGGTTGAGCTGAGGCGAGCTGCTCTCAGACTAGGACCAAGCCACAGTGTTAATAAGGGTTGTCGAAGGTTCCAATGGATTGGGTGAACAAATCTAGTTGGGGGCGGGGGTTGGGAATAATAGGAGAACCTGAAAATTGGTTGCTTTATTACGACCAATTTTAAGGAGCCTCCTTCATTGGTTTATGAAAAACTGTCTAGTTCCCATCTAGAAACATAAAAATTACAAATTACTTCTCTCTTTGATTGCAGTAGTCAGAGCTACACTGACATCCAGGGAATGGGTATTCCAGAGGAGGGGCTTAGCGGCCAGTGTGTGAGACCTGAGCCTTTCCTTCTGACGTTGCATATAGCAAAAGTAGGGAGAAAACCCATATCTTCCCCAAATGTTTGTTGTTGAGTTGCACACTGTAAATAGAGACTTAGCTGTTAATTTCTCTGAAGTAATTAAAAGTATGATATTTTTAAAAAGCCAGAACCCAGAACCAGCAAACTAATTCTTGTGGGTTTTTTTCTCTTTCCTTTGCTTTTCCTCTTAATACCTGTAATAAGTTGACCCCAAAATACTAAACAGACAACTCCTATTTGAATCCTAGGCAAAATACTGGAGCACTAATGCCCGTGAGATTGAAGGTACGGTATTTGACAAGAGTGGAAAAGCCGTGCATCGGCTATTTGGGAAATGGCACGAAAGCATCTACTGTGGTGGCTCCTCCTCATCCACTTGTGTCTGGAGAGCAAGTTAGTACTTGGGTTAATCAGTTCTGGGCAAGGGGTGGGGGGACATGGCCAGAGGAACTATAGACGGGATGGAAGCAGTATCTATCTGGTGTCTCTAGCCTTTGCCTGCTTTGAACTCCCTTGGAGCAACCAGCCTATTTTTCATTCAGGATTCATCATCTCAGCCTCATCCTAATGCTTATCAACAATACCTCAGTTGGTCCGCCAGGTCCTGGGTTCTTAATCTTGGAGCAAAGCCATTGGTCACTTAATCCATGGTCACTCTCTGAGGAAATCTTCCAGGCCACACACACCACTCCTGTGCCTATCCTGGGCACTAAGGAGTGTTAGTGAAGTACAGGAAGTCATTCTAGAGTAAGAATGAATAAAGAGGAAACTGTTAGTAGACAAGAAGAGTGACCTGGGGCTTCTACAAAAGTCAGGGGTCTCCCGGATTCATCCAATACCATTAACCACTTTGAGGTCGCTTGTAATTCTAGAAAAATACTGAGCCTTTGAAGCAGCTGTGGGGAAAAAGGGCTAGGGAAGCCAAACCTTCATAACATGTCCCCCAAAACATTTTAAGACTTTTGTCCATCTTCTAAGTCTTGGTCATATTATAAAACCATCATTCTGAGATGGTTCTCTCACCATGAGAATGCTTTGGGCTGATCAAAACAAAACAAATTAAAACGAAACCATCCTAATAGTGACTCAAATCATTAGGATGTGTGCTATTCCTTAACAAAGAAAGGATCGGATGGGCCCATGTTTGTTATACAGGCAACTTACTTGTGTCAAGAGCACAGACCATTGAGGACACATTCTGTCCTTCCCAATGTAGCAATGATGTTTCCCTTCATGGATGTCAAAAATTTATCATGTTTTAATATCATATCACTAATCAGGGGAGAAGTGAGGGAAAAAGCATTCCTTTCTTGGGCCTCTCTTTCTTCAGAAATGAAATACTTACTAGGATCCCCCAGCAAATGTGTCATTAAGTTTTTGTCATCCTCAAGTAGACCCAAATCCATTCTTGACCCAGTCATGGGCAACCTGGTAGGCAGGAGAGATTCAGATGGGCTTAGATTTGACCCCTAGGGAGGATACAATGCCACATGGACAGAGCAGTTTCTCATTAGCAAGTAAGAAAGGGAAGTGACTGTACGGTAAGCAACCAACAATGTCTCTTTCACTGGGTAGCACCCATATGTCATCCACTGTCACAGAGGTGGCAATGAAGCCAAAATGAATTGGCACCAGTGGCCACCTTCCTAGCTTTAGAAGTTCAGAAAGACACTATCCTTTGCTTAAAGTATGTATCAGAGATGAGAACTGCCATCCCCTCCGGATGTTGGAGTAGCACCTTCATAAAGCACACGTGTGGAGCTGTTATGCTTGTTGTTGTTGCTCGTTGACTTTGTTTCTGCCTTGACCATGAGCATCCCTGGTCTGTCTTCAAGAAGACCCACTGTCTCTTGGGAGAGCCTCTCCTCAGCCAGTGGTTGGGAGACAGGGCTGGATTTTGCCAGGCCCAGTAGGAAGCTTATAATTAGGACAGACAGAGAATTAGACTTAAAATTCGACAGAAAGGACTCTTGAAGCTTCAGAAACTGGGTCTACAGAATGGTTCGTGGACAGCTCTTGTATTTGTATGTGAGAGCAACTCCAGCTAAGGCTAGGAGTGGATGTTATCAGCCTATGTTTGACTTACCTGGTATGTAAACTATGTGTTTTAAGCTTGGTTTTTGGCTGGGATTCGAGTTAGGGCAATACACTTACATCAGTCTGCTTGGGCTGCTATGACAAGTACCACAGACTGGGTGGTTTAAGCAGAGATGTGTTTTCTTACAGTTCCAGGTAGAGGCTGGGAAATCAAAGATAAAAGTGCTGGCAAATTTGGGTTCTGGTGAGAGCCTCTTCTTGGCTTGCAGACAGCTGCCAGATCAGGTCTGCTCCCTTTTGACCTTATTTAACCTTAATTATTTCCTTAGCCTCCTTCTCCAGACACCAATACCAGGGGCAGGGCTTCAACATACCAGTTTTGGAAGGACACAGATATTCAGCTCATAACACTGCCGCTGCCCCCACCAAGCCACACCTTTCTTACATGCAAAATAGATTTATTGCATCCCAACAGCCCCAAAAGTCTTAACTCATTCCAGCATCAACTCTAAAGAGTAAAATCCAGAGTCTTAGCTAAATATCATCTAAATCAGGTATGGGTGAGGCTGGAAGTATAATTTATCTTCTCCAGCTGTAAACCCTTGAAACCAAAATATGCTTCTAAAATACAATGGCAGGACATGTGTAGGATCAACATTCCCCCTCCAAAAAGGAGAAATAGGAAAGAAATAAGGGGTGATGAGTCCCAGGTGAGTCCAAAACCCAGTAAAGCACATGCCATTGGATCCTAAGACAGCAGGTGATAGTTTTTGGCTTGGTGCCCCACCCTCTGGATCCACCTGGGAAGTGGCCCTTTTCCCCAAGGCCCAAGGCTCTGGGTGGTGGCAGCCTGGCAAGTTGAAACTGTGGCAGTGGCTCCACCCTTTGAGGGGTAGAGGCATCCTTCCCACCCCCCACCCCCTCCCCGGGCCTGTGTAGTCTGGGCCTGTGGTGGCAATGGTAGCCCTGATGATCTCTGAATCACCTTCCCACTGGTTCTTTCCTTTTCTTGAGGGATAACACATGCTTGCAGCTGTATAACTTGATGGTCGCATCCTGTAAAATGCCAGTAGTCCATCAGCCTTACTTCATTCTGTCCCCTTTAGGTCCAGCTGGCAGTATTTCTGCTGTATAATCCCATGTCTATTCCTGGCTTCCGCTGAGTTAGTTTTAAATTTAAATGTGTAAGATTTGGAGGGACAAGACTTGATATGAAGAAGAGCAGGAATGGAAGAAAAGAGTAACATTGACCACTTGCTATGGGTTCAGCACTATTTTAGGTTCTAGACGGAGTTCCAGGAGGATTTGACATTTCTTAAATGAAAAACGGATTCTCCAGAGTGAGAGCCTTGTTAGTCAGGAAAACATGGAGCCAGAGTTCTTTTTAACATGTTTATTTTTGTAACAAATTATTTTTACAGCTTCCACAGTATAAAAACTTCACGGCATTACATAAATTCCCTATCTGACCACATAAAAGAGGTCTTATCCTCGTAGGTAGAAGAAAACTTACAGAGAAAAAGATTTATAGAGGAACATTCACTACCTATTTGTTAGCCAGGATGTTTTAATATAAATGGAAGATTTTTAAAGCAGAGAGAGAAAAAATAATAGCTGAAATGAGATGAAAAAGGTGAAGGAATTAAAATGTAATGTAAATGAAAGGGAAGTTAGAAATGAATGATTTCTTTTTCTTTTAGATCCCATGCCAAAAGGCTATGAGCAATATTATGGCTTCACCCAGTTTGCCCTAGAATTAAATGAAATGGATCCATTGTCAAAGTCTTTATTACCACCTACAGACACTCGATTTAGACCAGACCAAAGGTAAGAATTTTGTAAAGATCTTTATCTCCAAAGATGTAAAACTCTTTATAAAAAGTCTTATTAACAACTCCCAGGCCATCAGAGGAGCTTGAGAGAGACAATATCATTAGGAGTAGAGGTCTAGGAGGACTGGAAACAGTCATGTTGTGGAAGGAACGGAGCCCAGCTTAATTCTATATGTGGCCTGGCCTTTATTCATCAGTAAAGCCTTATTCCTATTGAAATATCCCTCAAAAGTGTTTATTTTTAAGAGTTTTAATGCCTACAATAATATAGAACTTTGTAATTGAAAGAGGGAAAACACCCAACTCCCTTACACCTCAGATTTAAATTATTTTGGTGCATAAAAACCTAACTTCACATTCTAGGTTTGCTGGCAACAAGCTGTGTAATCTTTCTTAGTCTCAGTTTCCTCTTCTGTAAAATGGAAATAATTATCTTTGCCCTTGGGCCTAATTAAGACTCAAAACCCAGAAGGAAAAAGAAAAATTATATATTTGACTTTATTTAAAAAAATAAAAACCTTCTTCATGGCAAAGTAAAAAAATATTTTTATACCCAGAGTCAAAAAGATAAACGACAAACTAGGAAATCTATATTTGCAACTCATTTCATGAATTGGTTCCAGAAATCAAGATTAACTCATTTAGAAAAATAAGCAGAGGAAAAGGAACTGTTCACAAAGTAGAAAATGCAGATATCCCTTAAGTACATGAAAAGAGGCTTTTCTCACGGAAAGGAATGCATATTTTCAAAAATGTTTTAAAAAGTTTCTTTTGGGGGAAGAAATAGAGAGCAAGCAGGGGAGGGGCAGAGAGAGGGAGGGAGGGAGGGAGGGAAGGAGAGCCCCAAGGAGGCTCTGCATCGTCAGCATGGAGTCTGATGTGGTGCTTTAACTCATGAACCATGAGATCATGACCTTAGATGAAGTCAAGAGTTGGATACTTAACCAACTGAGCCACGTACGTGTCCCAAGAAATGAATATTTTTAAAAACATGTTGACATACTAATTCTTAACCTATTGGGTAGCAGAATTCAAAAGTTTGATGTACCCTGAGGCTACAGGCAAAAGGCTACATGGTGAGGAAACAGATGAGATGAGAGATAGAGATGAAAGAGACAAATTCCTTTTTATAGATCTGATTTTTTGAGCCACATATATGTCACCATTCAAAAGATAATATCTTGGGGGGCACCTGGGTGGTTTAGTCGGTTGAGCGTCTGACTTTGGCTCAGGTCATGATCTCCTGGTTCATGAGTTTGAGCCACACTGTCACAGCGTGGAGCGACAGTTCGCAGCTGTCAGTGCAGAGCCTACTTTGGATCCTCTGTCCCCCCACTCCCTCACTCTCTGTATCTCTCTCAAAAATAAATATTTAAAATAATAATAATAGGGGCACCCGGGTGGCTCAGTCAGTTAAGCAACTGACTTCGACTCAGGTCATGATCTCACGGTTCTTGGGTTCGAGTCCCGCATCAGGCTCTGTGCTGACAGCTCAGAGCCTGGAGGCTGCTTCAGATTCTATGTCTCCCTCTCTCTCTGACCCTCCCCCACTCATGCTTTGTCCCTCACTGTCTCTCAGAAAAAAATGTTAAAAAAAAAACGTTGGGATGAGCACTGGGTGTTATATGTAAGCCAACTTGACAATAAAATATTTTTAAAAAAACAAACAAACACACACACACACTAAAATAATAATATCTTCCCTAACTACCTCAAAATATGGTTTTAAAGGTTGAAGGGGGGTTTTATCTATAGGGAAGCATTCTGAATATCCAGTTTAGATACATAATTCTAGAAGTAATGAGTACAGCATTTTCTTGGAATTTGTGTTGCTTTATTTTTTCCCTTAATGCCTCAGGTTTCTAGAAGAAGGGAACTTGGAAGAAGCTGAAATACAAAAGCAGAGGATTGAACAGCTACAGAGAGAAAGGCGGCGGGTCTTAGAAGAAAATAAGGTGGAACACCAGCCGCGGTTTTTCAGGTGTGTGTGCATATCGTGTGCATCGCTGGAGGATAGGTGCTGGCGACAGCTGATGCTTCCTGCATGAAGGGAGTGAACATGGGTGTCCTCTCCCCAAATGAGAACCTTCTTGGTGTTTTTCTTGCTTCAGAGTGTGGAAACCTCTCTGGAAAATGAAAAATCCAAGTGGTCTAAATCTTTTTCTTTTTTCTTTTTTTTTTTTTTTTTACTTAAAAAAAATTTTTTTTTGAGAGAGAGCACAAGTTGGGGAGAGGGGCAGAGAGAAAGAGAGAGAGAGAGAGAGAGAGAGAGAGAGAGAATCTTATGCAGACTCCACACGTAGCACAGAGACCTGTGCAGGGCTCAACCTAATAGCCCTGAGATCATGACCTGAACCAAAATCAAGAGTCAAGTGCTCAATGGACTGAACCACCCAGGTGCCCCGCAAGTGGCCTAATTCTTAAATTGCAGAAGTCACAAAACACTTTGTTTGGATGTGGAACATTTGCTATTGATTTTAAAATAACTTGCCGTGAAAGTCTTATTGAAAATAGACTTAAAGATCTAGAAGGGGCATCAGAGATCATCAGCCATTTACCTCCTCTTTCATATTAACCGAGAAGAAGCAAAGACCCAGGGAACATAGGTGATCTATAGGAGGCCCCAGTGAAATGTCCTGGACTGGCGCCTGGCTTTCCTGAGTCCCGGCCAGGGCTTGGTATGGTTTTAGGGGCTTTTTTTTATTGGTTCATTTAAAAAACCCAAAAATCAACATTAAACAGGCCCATGTAGAAAAGCCACAGGTTCCTGCCCTACCCCTTTTGCCCCAGTCTTGCTTTCAGGGCAGCCAGGGTTTTATTTTTGCGGGGTTGTTTGGGGGTTTTTTGTTTGTGTTTTGATTTTGGGGGTTTTGTTTGGTTGTCATTGTGTTCTAAGGGATAACACAAACACTTTTAGGAGGAATTAGCTACTAATCTATCAGCAGCGGCAATAAAGTCTGCATTCCAAAGTAGCAATATAACGGGGCGCCTGGGTGGCTCAGTAGGTTGAGTGTTTGACTTTGGCTCAGGTCATGACCTCACAGTTCGTGGGTTCAAGCCCCGCATCGGGCTCTGTGCTGACAGCTAGCTCAGAGCCTGGAGCCTGCTTCAGATTCTGTATCTTCTACTCTCTCTGACCCTCCCCTGCTCACGCTGTCTTTCTCTCTCTCTCAGAAATAAATTTAAAAAAAAAAAATTTAAAAAATAGGAATATAGCAATGAGTACTATTCATCCCCAAAATATAATGCTTTTTTCCCCTAGAGTCGATGTGGATTTTTCCAGATCCTTTCTGATCATTTCCACAGACTCAGGAGATAAGCAAATGAAGATCAATCAACTGGCCAGAGTTTCATCCCAAAATATTCATAACTTTGTGTAAATATTTTTTAAAAAAGGCATCTTTAATATTTTTTTAAGACAAGAGATAGATAAATGGATAGATTAACAGACTGATCAGTTGATTTACTCATCAATTGATACATATACACATATACCCTTAAGTAGGCCAATGTTTTCTTTTTCTTGCATAAATCAGCTAGGGCATTGTGTCTTTTTTTTTTAAGTAGACTTCATGGCCAATATGGAGCCCAACATGGGGCTGGAACTCACAACCCTGAGATCAAGACCTGAGCTGAGATCAAGAGTCAGACACTTCACCAACTGAGCAAACCCAGCGCCCCAGTGTCATTTTTAAACAAGGGAAACTACATTTATAAAGTTGTTCATTGCGGTATATTTTAGGATCATTAAAAATTGTGGGTAACTAAACCGTCTCAAGAACTAGGTAGGGAGAGTCATCAATTTTACTTAATGTGAAAGTCCACAAAGTCTGTGGAGCTCCATGGGAAACAAATTAACATTTAAATGCAAAATATAAACTGTTATCAAGTTGCTGTTGCAACCTTCTAGAATTATGTGTGGAATGGAAAAGGACAGAACACGGATGCAGCCAGGTGGCTGTTTTTCCTCTTGATTGACTGTTAAGTTATCACGTTATTAGATGTGGCAAATAAAGAGCTGGAGAAAAAGCAAGAATTCTTCGGAAATAGTGGTCCTGGCAAAGAGGTGACAGAGAGGAATGTGGGAACAAGGGACGCGTCCACGGGAATTCCAAGTGGAAACTGCAATTCCTGAAGAACCGGGCTCCTCAGTTTCCTAGTCAAGTACCTGATATGCAGACTGGCTTATTGTAGACAGACCTCTATTCGAATAGGGAAACAAGTGTGATGAGAATCCATATTCCTGAGAGCATGGAGAAACAGGCACTCTCCACCTTTGCTTCTGAAGCATATGAAGTATCAGTCAAAATTACAAATGTACACCCTCTTTAACATGGCAGTTCTACTTACAGGAATTTTTAATGTAACTATACTTACATCCATACAAAATTACATATTGTTGTATGTTTATCATATTATTATTAACATATGTCTATGATAGCTAGAGATTAAAAACAGCCTCCTAGGGGTGCCTGGGTGGCTCAGTTGGTTGAGCGTCCGACTTTGGCTCAGGTCATGATCTCACGGTTTGTGGGTTCGAGCACCGCATCGGGCTCTGTGCTGACAGCTCGGAGCCTGGAGCCTGCTTCAGATTCTGTGTCTTCCTCTCTCTCTGCCCCTCCCCAGCTTGCACTCTGTCTGTCTGTCTGTCTCTCTCTCAAAATAAATTAATTAATTAAAAAAAACAAATAACCTTCTAAAGGCTCATCAGTAAGGTACCTGTTAAACTGTGGTCCATTTCTACAATGGAATATCATACAACTGTTTAAAAAGAAATCAGGGTTGCCTGGGTGACTCAGTCAGTTGAGCATCTGATTCCTGATTTCTACTCAGATCATGATCTCACAGTTTGTGAGTTCAAGCCCCAGATTAGCCTCTGCACTGACAGTGCTGAGCCTGCTTGGGATTCTCTCTCTCCTTTGCTCTCTGCCTCAACCCCTCCCAAAAATAAACAAACTTAAAAAAAAAGAAGAAGGAAATCAGGATTCCCTTTCACCACAGAGTCCCCAAACTTTTCCTATAAAATACAAATGGCAAATATCATTAGCTTTTCAGGCCGTAAGGTCTTAGTAGTAATTACTCAAACTCACTGAGCAGCATAAAAGCACCAATAGACAATAGATAAATGAATGGTCATGGTGGTGTTCCAGTAAAAAGGGATTAGGATTAAAGGAGATCTAGTTATAAAATAAATACCTCACAGAGATTAAAAAAAAACACAACATAGGAATTATAGTAGATAATATTGTAATAATGTATGGTAACAGATGGTGACTACACTTACCATGGTGACCACTGGTGTAATGTTGTGTACAGAATTGTTGAATCAGTATATTGTACACGTCAAACAAATATAACATCTTATGGGGCGCCTGGGTGGCTTAGTTGGTTAAGCGTCCGACTTTCGCTTAGGTCATGATCTCACGGTTCGTGGGTTCGAGCCCCGCGTCGGGCCCTGTGCTGGCTGCCAGCTCAGAGCCTGGAGCCAATTTCAGTCTGTGACTCCCTCTCTCTGACCCTCCCCTGCTCAGGCTGTCTCTCTCTCTCTCCTAGAAATAAAAAACATTAAAAAATAAAATTAAAAAAAAAATAACATCTTATGTTAATTATATTTCAATTTTAAAAAAAACAACAGTATTACAAAGATAGGCAGAAACCTGAATTTGACCCTTGGGCTGTAGTTCACTGACCTTATTGTGACAACAGAAAATGGTCTCCAGTATATATTGTTATGTCAAAAACTCAAAGAGTAGGACACCATTGAATGCTGTCATGGTGTAACAAATGGGAGAGGAGTGGAGTAGTTGTCTGTGTGTGCATGCATATTCACACATGTGTGAGATGGCTCTGAAAGAATGCAGGTCATTATTGCCTCTGAAGAAAAGGACTGGAAATCTGAGGGATTGGAATAGGAAGAAACCTTTTAGCTATCTACCCTTTTGTACCTTTTGAGTTGCTATCTATTTAATATATTATCTATTCAAAGAATAGTGAACCAAGGCTATTCTCTCTTTAAAAATTTTTTTTATTTTTTATTTATTTCTGAGAGAGAGGGACAGAGACAACGTGAGCAGGAGAGGGTCAGAGAGAGAGGGAGACACAGAATCTGAAGCAAGCTCTGTGCTGGCAGCTTGCACAGAGCCCGATGCGGGGCTTGAACCCACGAACTCTGAGATCATGACCTGAGCCGAAGTCAGATGCTCAACCGACTGAGCCACCCAGGTGCCCTTATCGTCTCTTGACTCTTAATGTCTTCCAATTTAATGTCAACTTATTACTTCATTCAACAACCAAGGTGATTTGTAGCTTTTACATAGTCACACCCAAGGTGTGGCTGTCATCCCAGCCGTGTTTTATATGTGACAAACTCTTCCCTTATCCATGCTTCTGTCAAACGCACTATTTTTCACAGCCTCTAAGTTTGAGAAGCCAAAGTTAAAAGTGACAAGATGGCCTCTAGCCTTCCTGTTCCCTCACAGTTCCTAAATGAGACTGTCAGGGACTTTGTATGACTGCGAGAATGATAGCCTGGCCCAGGGTTCGAAGAAAGGAGGGGAAGGGAAGGAGAGAATGTGACAGTGTTTTCAGTAGCCTTCAAGAAATTCTTTTCTCCTCAGGAAATCCAGTGATGACTCTTGGGTGAGCAATGGCACCTATTTGGAACTTAGAAAAGACCTTGGTTTTTCGAAACTGGACCATCCTGTCTTATGGTGAAAAAGGAAAGAAGAATGATCCACTTGTACTTCTCCTGTGTTTGCTATCTGAAGCCACAAACCTGTGTCTATATATTTAAAAGAAATTACCTAGAATGATCACCTGTGCTTAGCTTAGCATTGTAAGTATTTAAGTATGTATTTTTTCAGTAGTTTCCTTTATAATTTCAAATGTTGTCACGATTGTTTATATGAATGTAGAACACCTTGATATTTTATTTTATATATAAGCTATTTAATAAAAAATGAAAGGTTGAATGTTAATGTGTGGGTTAAAAAAGAAGCTTTAACACTAATTTTCCAAAGGTTAGGAAAATTCAAGTTAAATTTATGCCTTATAAAATTATGTTGGAGAAAACAATGTATCTCTCCCAGGTGCATTAAGAAATAAGAATACCCAGGGTTACCCACTCATGCATAAGCTACCCACGTTTAATTTGGGAGCTCAGATATCTTTTTGCCTCCGACAGCTCTTGGATTGTTCATCCAGAACAATTCTGCTGGTGCCGGAGACAGAAGAATACTGGCATTTGCATTTTCGTGGCTGGGAGGATGGTGGGAGATTAGTGGAGTGTATGTTTTTATATAACATAGATACAGCACCTCCTGCAGAGGAAAGGCATGTGAGCTCATCCCTTCTCTGGAGTTTTATTGCCTTATGTGCGAAACTGTACCCTGTCACTCAGATAAAATGTCATTAATCTGAGAAATGCCCATTAATTAAATGCTATAATGGCATCCCAGAGACACAGTAGGAGATTTCTCCTGAGAACTGAATTCTTGACAAGTTAAGAAACTATTTTCTGCTTCCCCCCAGCCCCACCCCTAGATTCCCCGCCTCCTACTTTTCCCATATCTCTGTTGAGTATGGAATGTTCCAGTTGAGCTTAGAACATACAGTGCATTCTACACAGCAATTTGACTTCCTAAAAGTTTAGCAAAATAACTAATTGTTTTCAGGAACTAAACAAGTTTTTCTTAAATACTGTTTTGGTATTTTCTACCTCTTAATAACGGCATATTTTAGATCTTGTATAAAAAGTTTGACCATCTGCCTTATAGAAAAATGTAGAGAATCGATGTTCTTCCTTTGTGTTGTGTTCTGATGAAACTTTGTCTTATCTGTTTCCTACACTTTCTTCTTACTCATTTCACTCTTTTGTGAGTTTTGCAGCAGTCTTGAATAACACAGATTATAACTACTAGAAGGGGAAACTTTGTCTTTTTAAATATGTTATTTAGAGTACAATAATAGAATTTGTGCAGTAGTTGAAGTATGTTATCAAAGCAATTCCAACTTCTGCCCAGATTACACTAAAACCAAAGCCTAATTTTTAAGCCTTTTACTTTATTGTCCATAACAGTCCTATGGAATATCAAGTATGATGGTGTGTTAAATAGTTTTCTCCAGAAAACAATTACAGATGTTTAGATAATTTCAGAGCATGTAGAATTCTATGAATGAAAAGTAGAATAAATAATGGGAAAAAAAGGACACATGACTTTTTCTCAGTTTATACCAAATAACCAGCTAGTAAGACTGTATTGCACTTTCAAAATGGAAAGTTATTGAAAGTGGGTCATAGCCTTTTGGAATCTGCAAATGATTAGCATTTTAAAACAATAAAGGACTCCTTAAATATTACACTCATTCATTCCATTTTATCAAGAAGTCAAGATGAACACAATGAATATCATTTCCATTTCTAAGCAGTTAAAGGACACAATCAGATTCTTTGGTACATGGCTTTGTTCTTTTCTTTTCAAGCGTGTATCCAAATTCTGCTCGCAGAGAGGAAGAAACAAGCTGTAGATTTAAGGATACTCCAGGGGAAAACAAATCTAGTTTTCACAGTGTGAAGGAAAATGGAGACTTTTAACCATATCGACTATTAAATAGGCCTCTTCCAGAGGCTGGTTCAAAAAAGAAACAACAACAACAAAAGCAAGATGTGCAGCCTGAATGGGTGGAGGTTTGTCATACAGTATTTGGAAATTTTTTTAATCATCCCAGTGCTGTTACTTCAGTTGATCTTATGCTTTATATTGGAGTCACAAGGATAAATGGACCAAATATCACCTTTGTGGTCATCTTATTTGAGATGGAAGCAGGGGTGAATTAGAATATGGTACAGAACTATATGCAGATTTAAAAAGCTGCTAGTCAGTACCAGCATCTATAAAAGACATTTGTGAAATTTAAACAGTTTAGTGATACCATACTGTTATAATCTTAAAACTCCCTTTAGGGGGAAAGGGCTTGTTTTTTTCCTTCAGTCCCTGTTCTCAAAAGCACCTTCCCATGTCATCTGTAGCTCAAGGGCATTTTATATTTTTAAGATAAAGAAAATAAACGTGGAATTCTTTGGGAAGAATTCAGGTAGAGTTTGACTTTCTGAACTTTGAAAATCCCAATTACATCATTGCAGTCACTGCACCATCTAAGATACATGTTTTAGCCAACCTCCATTTTATTCCTGATTATTCTATCCCCCATTTATGGTGAATTACACAGATACTCTTGGGAATGGGACTTTGTGCCGTCAACCACATTGTACTTCAGAAGTTCCTATTGGCTGCTGTGGATTACCCCAAGCTGCAGGCGATCTATTCAGGAAGGAACCAGCAGTCTCCAGTGTGGCCAGACAGCACATGGCTTCTGTCTGCAGGCCCCGACACATAGTCTGGTATTTCCTGGAGTCAAATGTAATAATCCAAATCACAGGGCAGCTGTCCATGCCGTTCACCTCCCAGAAGTCAGGCTGGTTCTGGTACTGAATTGAACGGAGTTTGCTTTAGGCCAACAGTCCAGTTATCTATCAAGTAGAGTACCCAAATAGCCCATAATCGTTGTGTGCTCCCCGAGGGACTCTGGAAGAGAAAAATATACAAACTCCAAATATCTTCAATGTTTATTTCATTTGAGCTGCTGCCTTTCTCATATTCTTTTAATTACCTCCAGTAAATCATTTGCTTGAGCTTCAAGTATTGTCCCTCATCTGTATTTTCCAGATTTATGATGAGTGGTCTTGTTCTACTATTAACAGTGTCAACCGTAAAAGAAAAATCATAAAGTTTTTATTTGGCTGTTGAATTTTGTTGTAGGCCTACTAACATATTCTAGAAGTTCTATCATATCTTCAAACTCTCGTAGAATTTTCTCAGACCTTTTATTTTAAGTTATGAGTAGGAGCAATAAAGTTCTTATGATGTTAGGAATAATACTTCCAATGTATTGGCATAATTTATTTGAATGTCTTTAATTTTGATATTAACATCAACATAAATCTATTTTTGCTACAAGATGATAGCTATTTTCATGCGCTCAACTTCCCTCTGCATATATGAATCTGTTACTTGGTGTTAGTCTTTATTTTCCTGTGTTGGAAATATGTATCACTTAAGTATCTGTAAATCATGACAGAAAATGCAAGCCACTTTCTGAGTCTTCTGTTTGGCTTATGCAATGATAAAAAGTTGCTAATTTATTTTACTCATGATGGTTTTATCTTCCTCCTTTACCCTCGGAGGATACTTTTTTTTTAAGGATGTCTATAAATCTTTTATCTAGCTGTGTATGAGATTATTTTCTGTTTAAAGCCCACCTTGCCACCCATACCTCATTATCCACACCAAGCT